AAATGATTTTAAGAAGAGCACACCCCACCTGCTGAAACTTCCTTAGCCTGATGAAGGGTTTTTGAACACAAAAGCTTGCTTAATAACTATTCTACAACTAATTGGGTTGGTCTAATAAAAGATATTAAATTCACCCAAGGAACCCTGTCTACACTTAAAACATGTTTTTTTTTCACATCCCTGGTGCATGAGGATCCTGGATTCTGGGAACCTGTCCCCAATCCTGGAGCCTCAGCAAGTGGCATAACAAGCAGAGCTGGTGTCCAGGGCAGATCCTGCAGGAGAGTGGGGGATGCACATTTCTGAGAGTGGGGGGACAAGCAAGTTCCAAGAGCGGAAAGAAGCAGGCTTATCCATGCTGGGAACTCCTAAACAGTTCCTGGATGAGCAGCTGCTGCCACTCTGCCTGATCCAGCTGTTCCTCTTAAAGCAGCAGCAGCTGGGGACTGCTTTGGAGTTTCTGGCATGAGTATGCTGCTGCGATGCAGACTCTTCAGTGGAACAATTCTGGTGCCCCTCCTAACTTCATGCCTGGGGCAGGTGCTCCTCTTGCCTACCCCTACTGATGTGATTGGCCCCAGTGCATTGAGACCTGGATCTGGATTTGGGTGTCAGTAGCAGACTGGTTAAGTTCACAGATGACACCAAATTATGGGGAAGTGCAGTCACACTGGAGGATAGGCTGGCGATTCAAGCCAACCTGGACAGGCACACAAGGTGGGCAAATCAAAACCTGATGACATTCAACATAGAGAAATTCAAGGTGCTCCACCTCAGGAGAAAGAACCTACATCATACTTATAGGCTCAGCAGTGCTACACTCACTAGCACCATGACCAAAAGAGACTTGGGGGTCATGATTGATCACAAGATGAACATGAGCCACCAATGTGATGCTGCAGCTGGCAAAGCAAACAAAACTCTGGCTTCCATCTACAGATGCATTTCAAACAAGACCCAGGAAGTCATCCTCCCGCTTTATTCGACCTTGGTGAAGCTGCAGGCAGAGTACTGCATCCAGTTCTGAGCTTCACACTTTAGAAAGGATGTGGAGAAGCTTGAGAGAGTCCAGAGGAGAGCCACACACATGATTAGAGGTCAAGAGAGCAGGCCTTATGAGGAGAGGCTGAGACATGGAGCCTAGACATTCAGCCTGGAGAAGAGAAGGCTCAGGGGGAACTTGATGACAGCCTATAAGTATATAAGGGGTGTGCATCAGGAACTGGGAGAACATCTGTTCACCAGAACACCCCAAGGGAAGACAAGGTCTTATGATCACAAACTGCTAGAAGACCGTTTTAGATTGGACATAAGGAAAAACTTTACCATCCGAGTCTCCAGTATCTGGAATAGACTCCCTCCAGAACTGGTGCAAGCACCTAGTCTGGATATGTTCAAGTAATGCCTGGATGCTCACCTTGCTACGGTCATCTGACCCCAGCTGACTTCCTGCTCTTTGGGCAGGGGCTGGACCCAATGAGCTCACAAGGTCCCTTCCAGCCTTAACGTCTATGAAATCTATGACCTTTAAAAAATGTGTGTGCAACTGGTCTTCATACAAGATTTTCTGATTTCCCCTCTTTGTTCATATTAATTAGATGGAAGCTCCACAAAGAGTTAGTCCAAACATTCTTCAGCTCTGCCTCTCCTACACTCTTATAGCCAGACTTGCCCCAAGCTGGAATAAGGCTGGTCATCTTCTGGTACAAGGTATCTGACTCTACTAAATCAGAGACTGACCCTTTGATTTTCAGTGTTTTATCTATGTATGTGCTGTCTATTTTTTTTATTATTCATATTCTTTTAATATGTTTGCATATCTCTGTTCCTTTATCCCCGTTTAATGAATAATGTAAAAGGACTAGTAATTATTTTTTTCTATCTTCCTTCTACTTTGTGAATTGATTTAATACACAGTTAAATTGACCATAGCATACACTTTAATATGTAGTACAGTAAATATCTTCTTCAAACACTGGATGTATTTTTCAAAATTGGAATTTCATAATGAACATATTTTTATACAGTAGTAGCACATTTCTGTCCTGGGTATAATGTTAAATTGCATCCAACAGTCCTGGGTATGACATTACACAGCATCCAGCAGTAGGACAGTCTGACTGTCAGGATAATAGTTGTTGGTTAGAATCAATGTAGGGGGCTTACTGTTTGGACAAAGTTTGGGACAAGATTCCGCTTCCAGCCACTTATGTGATTTGGTGGGGTGGATTAATGACCTACATATAATGTGCAGCGTCTATCATCTGCACCCTATAGGTACTCTGAGTGGAGATCAGAGATAATTAAGTGATAACAATCTCAACAAACTCAAGATAACAGTTAATGAATTAAACAGTTTATTAAAACAACTTCTAAATTCAGCAATTATAATTACTACAATGGCTATATAATTGCCTATACAACTATACTATACTTAGCCTACACTAATCCTAAGAGAACATACATATATACAAATTATAACAACAACACAAGACATACCTACGCACACAAAACACTTGCAAAGGGTGATATTTAACTCAGGCGTTGTGAACCAATACCATCAGAGGGAAAGTAAGTATATTCTGGGACTGGCTCAAACAATATCCTGTTGCAGTATCTTCAATGAACTTCTCCTATTGTTAGATCTGACAGCGTCAGGTAAGTGGAATCCACAATATAATTTGAATACTCATTCACTAACCAACAAACGTTCCACTCTTCACCATTCAGCCAGACAACCAGGATTCCCATTATTCAATTAAGCATCAAACTCCTCAGATACCAGGGGCTGCGCACCGTGGCTACCCTCAAAAACTTCCACCCGAACACTCTTAAAAAAAAAAATCCCACTCTCTCTCAGGAGCTGCATACAACCCACCATGACAAACTGACACTTCCCACGGTACCAAAATCTGTGCATCACCCTCTCTGCATCTGAGCAGACTCAGCCTTAGAGAGCTAGATCTGGAACTTTTCCACTGTCTGCAAGCTGCAGGGTCACCAAGAGGTCACTGAATACAGTGGCCTACATAGTGAAACAAGTACTCTCTAGCTACTGCAGCCTCTGGGTTGCTCCTTAGGCAAGGCGTGCACCCATCACCCTCCTTTACCAGGGTTACAGTTGAAGCCACTGGGGGCGCAGGACGGTGGATCATTTCATCTGGTGGCTGCCTGGTACAACTGGGACAACAATAGAGGAGACTTGCTCAAGTTAGCTGAGCACTGAGAACTGCAACAAGAAGTGGCAAACTATTGAAGAAGGTGTGGCAGTCATTTACTCAGGAGGCCAGATGCACAAAAGAGGATTTGGGTTGATTTTGGATGAAGAAACCTCAAAATGTTTACATGGTTTTTGGGCAATATCTGATAAAGTGATGCTTGTGAAAATAAAGGTTAAACCTTTCAATATTGCAGTAATACAAGTCTACACACCAACAACTGAAAGTGGGGAAGAGGACACTGATCATTTTTATGAAGACCTTGATAAAGTGAAAAACCAATGCAAACCTCAAGAAGTGGTCATAGTGATGTGAGTTCTAAATGCAAAAGTTGGTTGTGATTGAGCGGATAATGTTGTTGGACCTCACAGACATGGAGAGAAAACTGAAAGAGGAGTGAGATGGATTGATTGGTGTGTTGCAAACGATCAAGTCATTATGAACACATGGTTTGAACACCACCCAAGAAGAAGGTATACATGGAAAAGTCCTGGTGATAACGATAGAAACCAAATTGATTACATCATCATCATCAACAAAAGATTCAG